AAAATAGTGAAAATAAAAAAAAAATATTCTCAGGCAGGAAAATAATGTAGAAAAATGCCTGCCTACCAGTATTTAAATCTGAGAAAGTTGTAAGCAACAGCTCAGAATGAAAAGGTAGAATCACTCTTTACCATTACTATCTGTTAGCGTTATGTTTATTCTTCTGAGTAAACTTAATTTCCACCAAATGATGCCTCAAAGTCTGGAAAGGTACAAAAACCTTAATCACTGTCCAGACAGATGAGGAACACACTTCTTTATCTCTGTAATTATATTAGTCTCATATTTTTCCTTTAGCAGAAAATAACCAACAGTACTTCTCTGGAAGGTATTAGAGTAATTTCTTTTCCCAAAAGATTAGTCTATTTTATGAAAATAATGAAAATTTTCCTCTTCTGGAATTAAAATAAACACATTTCTGTGTGGGGTCATTAAGAAATAGGTACGACTATGGCACTAGGTCAGGAGAAACTTGCATTCAGACTCTTGTTCTGATTCAGATTAAGTTCTTTGATACTGCATCAACTTTTAGTCAGGCAGAATAACAAATTAATTTTCCTATTCAGACAGAATAGGAAAGTAATTCAAGCTTACTCCTGTACCTCATAGATTACAGGGAATGAACGTTTCTATTTCTCTCAAGCAGACAGCTCTTTCTAATGTAAATGTAATTGAAACTGAAATTCATCCTTTTATCCTGTAATTACAATTATTTTTTTCCCCTTGAGAAAACATATTTTCATAAAATTTGCACATTGAAAAATATTCTGTCCAGTTTTAGCTTAGTTGCTGTTCTGTTTTTATTTGAATGCACAGATGGATATATAGATATATATATATACACGCATGCAATTTCAACTTTTTTTTTGGTGTGTTTCTTTAACATCAAAATTGAGAAGTATCTGCATAAGATGAGATATTTACAAACACGTGCATGCCTGCATGGATCATTTTTAATTCATTACTTGATTAATGAGGATGTGTTGGAGAAGCAGTGTCTTTTTTTCACTTTGGAGTGAATCTGTTCCCTGCTGCCTGTAAATGCTATTAGAACCATCTCCATAGCAACTAATGGCAATGCTAAAGAAAAGTGTTAACCAAAGTTTCAGATAAAGAAGTAGATCATTAGAATTCTTTAGAAAAAAGGATGCTTATGGAGAAGGATGTTTATGTAGATGGAGCTGGTGAATGAAAGTATACACAAACAGTAAAATAATAACAGCACTGATGCCAGCAAGTGTAAAGGCATGATGTGGTTAGTTTCCACAGCTGCCTTGGAGTTATTGGAGTCTTGAACTAATGGGAGAATGCTTTTTATCTTCAGATAATTTAAGTGTTAGGTTTGAACTTCAGTTATGATTGGATGGATTTCTTTTTGCAGGACTGTCTAGTCAGAAAAAGAAAACAGGTTTTGTTTGTTTTCTTATCTGTATATTATTAAAAATTGCTATAATTTACATCACAATCATTAATATTTACCTCATTTTAACAGCTGAAATAAAATTATCTCAAAAGTCAAGATCTATTTTGTCCATTTAGGATTGCAATTCTGATTAGGATTGAACATCTTACATGAATTGTTGTTCATGTCAAAAACTGCTCTCCAGTGTCACTAGTATTTACAGTTCCATCACCAAATTAGTCTTTATATTACATAGAACTTTACAGGTAAGCTATTTTCCTGACAGTTCTTGAGCACATCCTGGGTAAAAGTCATGCCATGATCATGAAACTGGTAGATTTAGCTTTGTTTCCTATTGCACAGACCTTTGTAGCACAACTCGACTCTCACTAGCTATAGTAAGAGTTGCATCTTAGTGCTCTTAAATAATAGCCAAAATATGAGTGCATTCATTGTGCATAAAATGAAAAGACACAAGTAATCAAAAAGGAGCAGTAGTGCTTCTGGAGAGGGCAGTCTTTCAAAAGGGAAAAGATTACTTCTGCAGAAGAGAAGGCGATGTCACTACTTAGTGATAAAGAAGCATTCTGCCTTAATTTGAAAGGACCTGCCTAATGAGCCATGCTTTGGTCCCTTAGACAAATTTATTGCTCTCACTTAACATGGACATCATTATTAATTAGGCAAGCAGGAGTCATACCATCCTGTCAGCAGAGATGCTGGATTACCCTGAAGCTGGGTGTAAACCGAGGACTTTCCTCACAGCCCATCCTTCTGCAGGACTACTTCCAGTAGGGAATGAACATAATGCTACAAGTTTTGTAACTGTTCCTCTTCAGAGAATCTTTAATAATTCACAGTGAGAATATCAGGGGTAAATGGTATACCTAGTCATTAAAGTATGGAAGAGTTCTTAAAAAATCAACATGAAATTGGCTCATATTCATCATTGGCTAGTAGGTGATTATAAAAAATAGAGGGTCTTAGCAGATTCTTAAAAGGTTAGTCTAACATTTTATATTTCAGATGAAATAATCATTTGTTAAAAGTTAATGAAGATTTCTGCTTAATCCATACCTGGTTTTGAGACTCATGACAAGTTTGTCTTAAATTTACAGAGGCTTTTGGACAATTCTCAGCTGGATTCCTAAGAAAAAAGTTTGTTTTAAATTCCTGCCTTCACAAAAACATTTGGAAAGCTATCTTTAATTTTGCCTATGCATTGCTTCCTGCAGTTTCTATACAAATAGAAACATGGTTAGGTCTATAAATTTGGAATACAGATTTCACTTTTTAAAACCCTGAGAACAAATGAAAAACTAAAGAAATTTAAAAGGAGCAGAAGCAGTACTAAACGGAACCTTGCACCTATTTATTTTTGTAAGTAGAAAGAACTACCACTAAGAAAGAAAGGAATACCTTATGTGTATGTCTTTTTTTCTTTTTTTTTTTTAATTACAACATTTAAATATATTTGACTGAACCTTTCTTACAGTGGATTTAACCATAGTTATTGATATCAAAATCACTAGAACATGCACTGGAACTAGTAAAAAAAAAAAAAGGAAATCATTTTTCTGTGGAAAATTATTATTTCTGCAGAATTGATGAATTGTTTTTCATTCCAAATAAGAACTTCACAAAATGTAAATTCCAATAATAAATGAGTACATTATGTGTGTGTCACAGTATGATGCAGTAGGTGAAATATTATAAAAAATTTTATATGTAAACCACTGAAGTGAAATGCTACCTAGTATTGATTAGATCTTTTCTAAAACAATGTTCTCATTTATCATAAATAGCAAAACCAAGGATTAATATTGTGGATCCCATTTATCACTTCTCTCTCTTTTCATCCTCTAGGTTTGATGTAATGCGTAGTAAATCTAATACAATTATTGCTAGCTATGTTGATAAAATGCACAAGCTTTTATTTAATCGCTTAAAAGACTTTTCTGAGATTGTTGTATTTTTCAAGTATATTCTAACAGAGCTCAATCTCACTAAAACTTTTAATTTTTCAGAGTCTACACAAAAACTCATTCCTTTTTCGTACCCAGCATATTCTTCTCAATAGGAAAAAAGACTGTAAGAATGGGAAAGTCTAACAATGTAATTTAAGAACATCAAACCTTAACTGCCCCCAGCTAAAGAGATACGGATTCTGGAATCAAGCACTGCACTAAACTTCCTCCCACTTAAAAATGGGATATTACTTCAGTTGCTTTAATGGCAGTGATTCCTGTGATGCCACATAGTCCTGTAGTCTTGTTTCAAATAAGGTTTAAGAGTTTGCATTAGTAATAATTAATTGCTCTCTACTGACTGTTGTCAAGAATAGATGAAGATGAGTTAAAAATATTTTTAATTTTTTCTGAGGTTGTAGCCATGAAGAAGTAAAACTTTCCTTAGGAAAGTTATGTACCTTACACGCAGACTCCACACTGAATAATCCATTCAGTTATGAACCAACAGGCCCATTCACTCAGGTGTAGCTCTGGAGATGAAATTTAAGACCCTGCTTAAGGCCTGTTAGACAAGAAGTGCTGTTACACTACACAAAGTAGCTTTTCTTCCCTGAAGGAGTGAGGGTCAGTCAGTACTTTTACTCATCCAGTTCCTGCTGATGGGGTTTGTACAGTCAGGCACTAGATTATACTTTTTATGTTGCTACACAAGATTAAACCACAAGATTAAACATTTGTCATAGTGGTACTGCTCTATGCGCTTTGAGGCTGAGTATGCGTTAGAGCTTAGGTGCCTTTAACAACAACAGAGACATTATGACCTCTTTATTTGAATGCTGTCAATACCATGAGCAGAATTGACATTTTACTTTTAGAGGAAAGGCAGACATGGAGAGGAAAAAAAGGACAAAAGTATTTATCATAGGACACAGGCTATTTTTTAGCTACATCTGGCCACTTAAACTACAGAGCCCTCTGTACACTTGGAAAAAAAAAAAATCTGCGAGAATATTAATTTTTTGGAAATGCCTTTTTTAAGATCTAACAGCCTATGTGCATTCTGATTTTTTTGATCCATAACTTAATTCTATAGAGCTAGTAGGCTTAGGCCTTGATGGAAGTAATGAAAGCTACTGTTTTGTAGTGACTGGTCATCTTAAAATCCGAGCAACTGTTTTTCATCATCATGGTTGCCTCCATAGATGATTCTTCTAGAAACTGTAAAGCTGTTTTGAAACAGGAACTTTTACGAGTGCGTTCTGTACTGGCTTTATTGAGCAGGTCTGTCACATGTCTACTGAATGAAAAGAAAGAGAAAAATGGCTTACTCTACTATTGCTTACTTAAATATTTCCATTCTTGGTCACTTTAACTTCCTGGTTCTCTGCACCAGAGAGCTCCCTTGAACAACAATGTTCTTTACCTTTCTGAATATAGGTGTCCTGTTTATTGAAATGTCAATGTTTACACCAAACCCCTAATTTTCAGTTCCTCAGTTCTTAGCAGTTTTTTACAGTGCTATATAATAAAAAATGACATTTTTAAATGCTAGGTTTCAGGCATAGATGTTTGCAATTAAAAATATTAATTGATGTATGCCAGATTATATAACTTCAGGTTTTCATCAGGACAGTGATTTACTGGACCGGCGGAAACATTGCTTCAGTGTCCAGTCTGAATCTGGAGAAGATCTTTACTTTTCTGTGGAACTAGAGTCTGACCTTACACTATGGGAAAAAGCCTTCCAAACAGCAACTTTTTTAGAAGTTGAACGTATACAGGTGAGAGCAAACTGTCTTGATAATTAACTTTTGGTTCATTAACATATAGGTCTATATGAAATGGCGGTGCAGTTTAAGAAATTCTCTGACCTCCTGCAGCTCTCAAACTGTTCTATGTACATAATTACATAAAACCCCTTTTTGTGTTCCTAGAAAGCTTGCAATGTAGCATTCAGAACAGATCACCCCAAATACAATTATTGAGTTATTATGACTAGGTGATATGTATTTATCAACTAAAGTTCACAAAAGAAGAAAAATAATCTATCGATCAGGGACATAAACAGCAGTTTAGATATTATATACAAACATGCTATTTTTATTAGTTATTGGATAATCATAGAATAGAATAGAATCATAGAATCGCTAGGGTTGGAAAGGACCTTAAGATCATCTAGTTCCAACCCCCCTGCCGTGGGCAGGGACACCTTACGCTAAATCATATCACCCAAGTCCTTGTCCAGCCTGGTCTTGAACACTGCCAGGGACGGAGCATTCACAACTTCCCTGGGCAACCTATTCCAGTGCCTCACCACCCTAACAGGAAAGAATTTCCTCCCTGTATCCAATCTAAACTTCCCCTGTTTAAGTTTTAACCCGTTACCCCTTGTCCTATCGCTACAGTCCCTAATGAAGAGTCCTTCCCCAGCATCCCTATAGGCCCCCTTCAGATATTGGAAGGCTGCTATGAGGTCTCCATGCAGCCTTCTCTTCTCCAGGCTGAACAGCCCCAGCTTCCTCAGCCTGTCTTCATATGGAGGTGCTCCAGTCCCCTGATCATCCTCGTGGCCCTTCTCTGGACTTGTTCCAACAGTTCCACATCCTTTTTATGTTGAGGACAGCAGAACTGCACACAATACTCCAAGTGAGGTCTCACAAGAGCAGAGTAGAGGGGCAGGATCACCTCCTTCGACCTGCTGGTCACACTCCTTTTGATGCAGGAGAATAATGCAAGAGAACCTTGCAGGAATTAAATTGTCCTTGTAATAATCACGAATGAGAGTACACTGGATAAGAGTACTTACTGGATACAAGCAAGAGCAAAATTGTACCTTAGGTACATTATTCTTTTTTCACACAGCTTAAGTTTCTTGTGTGTTTACTCAATTGCCAGATGACAGAGTGGAGATAGATGACATTCATGTACAGATTATTAGTTATTTTTTATAGCGAAATTACATATGGGAGTGTTTAAAGATAACACTGTTTTTTTCACATAACCAAAAAGTCATGTTTGGTTTGTGGTTGTTTTTTTTTTTAAATTTAAAATAGAAGGAAAAAATACCTACCAGAATTAAAATTCAGCTCATCATAGTTGTTATATTGATGTTCTAATCATAAAAAATACGTGTTCTTGGAATAGCTTTAGTTGACAACACACCTACAGAAGTTGTATTTGCTTATTAGCTGTGCAAGTACTGGCTAATGCTCAGTTCCCCTGCATGCATTTTCTATATCTCCTGGGAATGCAAGCACTGACAGTTTTTTATTTAGACAAATACTTATATTGTTGGCCTTTTTCTAACCTATGAACCAACACATGCAGATGGATTGAATTAGTATATAGTAGTGATTATGCATTTTGCAAAATTAAGTTGCTGTCAGTTTTAATGCATAATACTTTTGCTGGAGGAACATTGAAACAGGTTCAACTTTTATCTTTAAATTTATGCACTCTGCTGCCTTTTACAGGTGCTGTTCATTCCTTTTCAACTCTGTTGTGCTGAAAATATAAGTGTAGCTTTTCTGCATAAAAACTATATGTCCTCTGCTATTAAATATTTGAGGCGCTTTGTCTTTCTTGTATAACTGGCTGTTATACAGTTTGTCGAAGCACTACTGTGCCATCAGTAAAAGAACATATGACAATTTTCTTTAATAACTTTCAGCCTAGAAGCCACTTCATATTTGTTCTACTCTAATATTGATTCATAGTTTAGCATTCCTAGTTTACATTTTTCTCTTGGGTTTTAGAATTGCATTTATTCAAAATTGCTCCTATGTCTGCAAAAAGAATTTCCTTAATAATCTTAACCTGAGATTAATCTTAACCTTTCCACCTTTCTTTTCACTCAACCGATGTCCAGGTAGCAATTATGAACTCAAAGTAATGATTTCCTGAGACTGATTGATCATAGCAAATTTGTGAAGGTGGTCAAACAGGCTTCTCATGATAGGCTATTTTTGTGTAACTCACATATACTATTTCAGCTTTTTTCTATATTTTATTGCCTCTCTGTATCTCAGTTTTGAAGAAAAATAGAATATTAAATTTCAATATAACTGGTCTTGGCCTTTTAATTTTTCTTTCAGCAGTCTGAAACTGCTTTCATCCACCAATTTTCAGATTCAGGTAAAATCTGGTTTTACTAAGGAGTGGTATAATTCATCTCCAACAAGTTCTTTCATTGCTTTTTGAGAAAAAAAAAAAGGTGGCAGGTTCAAAATTAAAGTATCAACTGTACATTTTTACTAAAATTGTGTTATATGCACTCATATGATTATTCATATTTCACGTGAATGATGATCCAGCTGCGTGCAGGTTTTTGTTACTATGAAATCATATAATTTTGAAAATGTAATTGCAGTTTAAAACTGGCATTTAAAATTATTTAAATGTGTTGCGTACTATTCCATAATCATAGAAATAATAACAGAGATAGTCAACGAGTATAAATTGGCATTAACTTCCACAAGAGGTTAATCAGAATCCTATTCTGATGTAATTCTAAAGAATACATCACAAATTAAAGTATTTTTAAAGTACTATAAATATGTAATAAATTCTGTTTAAGCCTAATTCATAGTTTCTGCCAGAGTTATATGTAAAACAAAAAATAGGCAGGTGTTTGTTTGGTTGGGGTTTGTTTTGTTTTTTAAGAAAGAAATATGTTAAAGGAGAGATAGTCAAGCTGAAGATACTCAGCAGTAATACGTGGTATGATATTGTACTGCTGCCATTATGATGTTTCACAGTCACTCTTTAGTTTAAAGTAGTAAGAGATGCTAACCCTTTGTCAGAATTACTTATTAAAAGAAAAATAAAAGGATTTGGAATGGAGTTCCTTTTTCCTTACTGTCTCACAACACTGTTGTATGAAGTACTGAGATTATTCTAGCTTGCATAATGATGTACAATTATGTATGATTGTCAGGTTTACTTTGTGTTCCTGCTACTTTATGCGGAAATTTTCACCTCTTCCATCATGAATTTTCCTGCTTTTTTGCATTGTGGTTGTTTGCTCCATAATATAGGGGTTATTGTGTAAGCTGCTTTGTACTACAGTACTTCAGCGTTCATCTCCGCTGAAGTTGAATCTGAGTTTGAAACTCTGAATTAAATCTTGGACCCATAGTATGGTTTCCCTTATCTTCAAAGATAGTTTCACACAAGGTTTAAAACACAGGATTCTTTCCATAATTTAAACTGTGTGTATTGAGAGAGTAGAATCTAAGGAACAACTTTAGGTTGCTTCCTTCAGACTCCCGCCTGACCCACTGAATTATTCATAAACCCGATTTAAGATTCTGTATTCTGTGCAAGAACAAGAAATCAGTGCTGAAAGATCTTCTGCTTCTTTTGGGATGGGAATGCTTCAGTTCTGATAAGGTTTTCATGGCCTGTGTGAGAAATCAGCAACCGAAGCCAAACATCCATAGTATATATTATTAACTGTCACCTTTAATAATTTAAAGTGTTTGTTAAATGTATATGAAATTTTAAAGTCTCCTGGGAAGAATTTCTGTATTTTTGCTTTCTTCAAATGTCTGAATTGAAAGACAAGTTAAAGAAAACAAAGATGAAAAAAATCTCAACAGTTAAGGGGTGTCTGAAAGTTCACATTCCTGCTCTGACCTGTCACCAGAATTGTGCAAGTGCACACAACACATACATAAAGCAAGGGACATTCTTCCCCAAATAAACTACAATCTTGCTGTCCAGAAATCCTTTTGTTATTGTCACAATTTTGCTTCTCTGCATTATTTTGAACATCATGGAGTGCATGGTCAAAGGGTATAGACTGGTCTTACATGTAAGTAAAGAATAAAGAATCAGCTATTACCGGTGGCCTGCACATTACAGTGGTTTCTTCCTACTGGTAACCACATTGAGCTAAAATAGATGATATTTCTCCACAGACTGTGCACTGCCTTTTGGAGAAAGACCCTCCAGTCTGGGAAGCAGGTTGTTTTTAAGTGCAGCATTGAACCAAGACTGATACATCCTGTTTCTCATAAATCTTTACTTCTCAGTGAGGCAAGTTAGCACAGGCATGGTGCTGTACTTAGGTAGAGGTAGCTGTGGAAGCTCAGCATGGTGCTGCAGTGCATATTGTAGGCTGACCTGCAGTGTAGAGGTGAGAGGTTAGATGAGTTAAGATGGGAATATATATTTTAAACCTGATATACTATCTCCTTGCCAAATTTTAATTCTCAGTAAAGGCTTTCTATCTGGTTTAGGCATTTTCGAGATCTATAAATAAAAACATAGTTTGCGTCTTGTAGGAAGTTAGTACGATAATTCTACAAAACTATATTTTTTTGCTTTGCATGCAAAGCCTGAAGATTTTTGCATGTATGAAATCATTAAGTAATAAGTCACTGTGAAAATATATTTCTTACACTCTTATTTTTTCAATAATGAGGTGTTGCCAAAGGCAATATCCTCTCCTTTTCTAACATCACTGATTTACTATCACTTTACATATGCATAGTAGTTTTATTGTACAGCTGCTGCTAATATAAACACAAATACTATATGACTGCAATACCATAGAGCTGAATCATTAATTTAATAAATAAAAATTTGCAGCATTTATCTATTAATAGTTACAATGACTAAGTGCTTCTTTATGAATTAAGATTTTACACATGTAGTGAAGTACATGAAGTTCTTTAAGTTTTGGAAGCTACAGGAACAGACCACTCACTGCATTTGACCTCAACAACAGCAGCAGGAAACCTTTCATTTACTGATGAACAGTTATAGCTTTTGAACACCTTTGGTGGATCACACAGTAACATAGGATTTGTGGTTACTCAGCAATAATGCAAAATCATCTTGTAAGGCACATGTCATGGATTGGTTTCACTTCAGAATTATAAATGGACATGCTTTGCCAATAGACTGGATTATAATGCTGCACTTCTGCCCAAGTGCTAACCAACAGAAAGTGTCCTTCAGCTTCAGTGGTGGATACCACTGTGTTTGAAACCTAGATTCTAGAGCTCCAAGGTGTGTGCACGAAGATTAACCAACAGCTGTTTGCATGGTTGAGACCTGTTTTGATCAGTGTAGTTGAGGCCTGTTTTGATCAGTGAAAGCAATTCGCACAAATATTTCAGTTCCAGAAAATAAATATATATTGAAGTGTCAGAACATCAAATTCAAAATAACCAGAGAATCTATATAGCTATGAACTGCTACATTTCCCTTTATTACAATGTCTATTTCAATTCTTAGAAGCTATTAATGAGCCTTTCAGCTTCTTCTGTTCTGGGACAGACTATTTAGAATTCAAAGAGCCCACCTAAAGAATATATAAGTAAAGGCATGTGGTTTACCCTTACTAATCAAAATGCCAAAAATAGCAATACATACTTTTGTAACACTGATATTTTAATAACTTACATTGTCCCCATGTCTACAATTTATATTTTGGTTCTTTAACACATTATAGATCATGGAAGTGTGTTTAGTGTCCGCAGCAGCATTTGAAGAATGTAACTACATTTCATTTAATCTGGAGGGTAAAATTTCCATAAAACAAGAACATCTTCTTTGAAGAATTTGCATCAGGTTTAAAAATGTTTTTTATTGTTTACATAATTTGTGGTGAAAAAATAAAAGTTTGTCATTTTATACCTGAAGTCAGCACAGTAATAGTCATCCTGGAAATTACACTAGTAGATGTCTCACAGCATGTATTGAAGTGTTACGGATGTTATGGAATAAAACAGATGCATAGCAGACAGTGATAAATTCTTTCAGGATTTCAGAGTTTATCATAGGAACCTTTGACATATTTTGGTCCACTAGCTGAAGTAGAATAGGTATTTCATATTATTACATCAGTTGCTACATTGTATGAAATACTGCCTTTTCCAGTGATATTTAGCAGAACACAAAAGCAAAATAAAGAGCATACCAAAGAGATATTTTACAAATGCATTTATTTCTTCTTAAAAAGCTGAAAGGCTTATATTAATGTCAGAGGAAGTTACTGGGTACCAAAACAAATAAGAGAGTTCAAAAATAATGAAACTTCCCTTTTACCTATTGTCATTGATAAGCCACAGAGGCTATTCTGTTTCTCATTTATTTATTTTTTTCCCCTAATGGAAGCAAAGCCTCATTTTACAATACTTAGAAAACTTAATCACTGACATCAAATCCTTTGATTTTAAATAAATTAGCAATAAATGTATTTATACACAAATAATTTATTTCTGGCAATAATTTTGATCTTTATAAACATTAGAATAAAAAAAAAAAAACAGAAAAACTGGTCCTGGAAAGAATTTTAAGATGTATATTCTGTGGTAAATACCTTCTCTGACTTTTCTTTTACAGTGCAAGACATATGCCTGTGTTTTGGAAAGTCATCTTATGGGACTTACCATTGACTTTAGCATGGGCTTTGTCTGTTTTGATGCTGCCACAAAGGTAAAGTTCTCAGTCTTTTTTCCATCACATTATTATTCCTTGCTATTTTTTTTATATTGTGGGATAAGTAGTACTTCCTTAAATTGCACTTGGTTTATATCTTGTCAAATCTCTTTGCTTTAGTTTAAACATGGGTGTGATTTTAAAATTATGCGAGAAGTTGTATTTTGTTATGTGCTTCTTGTTTAAAAATCAATACCACTGTCAATTGCAAGCAGGCATCAAGTCTTTATTATTTCATTTCTCTTGAAACCCAGACTGATTAATTTTTAGGTTTCTTTCACTGATGCATCCTTTGTTTTGAGAGAAAATAATCCTGGTTTCAAGCTGATCTGTGAGCTTTAACAAGAATTTTTCTTTCTCTTCTCCTGTTTCATGGGTGGGAGTGTGTGTGGTATATTACAGCAGTTCTCAGTTTATGTTTTACATATTTCTGTTCAGGTGTCTGTAAAAAGAGAAATCAGCCATGGTGTCTATGACTTACACTTTTATCATCAGTCTTAAAAAAACTCAGTACAACTGATGAAATAGTTTGCTGTACCAAGTGAGTAATAGAGCATCAATTTCCAGATTATATTAATGCAAGTCCAAATCTCAGGAAAATCATTGGGAGCCTATGTATGTTTGCATTTACACTAATTGCTAATAAGTACCAAGACATAAGCAAGCTTTATTCCTATTGCTTGACACTGCTGTTATGGGAGAGCATTGACTGAGCATTGGAGAGGTTGTGGAGTCTCTTTCCCTGGGGATATTTGGGAACCATCTGAGCACAATCTGGAGTAATGTGTTCTAGGTGACTCTGCTTGAGAAGGAGGAGGTTGGTCTAGACCACCCCTGGTGGATCCTTCTAGCCTCAACCAGTCTGCAATTCTGTGATTCTGTGTTTCTGTGAAGGTGAAATATTTTTTTTCTAAGTTCCACTTCTCTTCAACCATTAATTGCTAAAAATGCCCTTTTCTTTACACAATATGCTCCTATCCTTTCCCTTAAGTCAACCTTTCCCACCACATTAATCAGAACCCTTTAATATTTCCTTCTCCATTTTACTGCTTGTTTGCACAAGGTGTAGTAAATTTGAAATTCAAGTAAGTCATTGTGCCTTTCTATTTGTAGAAAAAAATATGAAAACAACATCTTGGGGAATGATATTACTTATAAAACAGATTCTTCTGTGTGTCTCCTACTTTTTTATGAGTACCTAAATATGAAAACCATTACCTACTCTCCATCATTTTACAGAAAGGTAAAGGTTGTGATTCTCCTAGCCAAAAATTTATTCAGGTATCTTCATTAAGGTGGTGACCAGTTTAGGTTATGTCTATGCTAGTTGTGTTCTTCAACAATATTGCTATATGCACATGAACTGAAGCATAAACTAGACATGTTTGGTTACATAAGCTAATATTATTTCTCCACTTAATGAAGTAGTTCATATGAAGCAGAAGTTTAAAATCTCTTTTCCAAGAAATATCTGAGAAAACAAAAAATAATGGAAAAAAGTTTGCAGGACAAGGAAAATATGAATAAAATTTAAATTAAATTACCTATATCCTATTAATATTTATATATATATTTGTTCATTAAGAGTGTACAAAAGTCACACAAATTAACAAACTCTGTGTAAAAACAAACCTTCTATTTAAAATATCACATTGTTCATGTAAAAAATCCACTTCTAATTTTTTATTTCATATGAATTTTTACAATCAGTATTTGAAAATTCAGTGCAAACTATTATATTTCCACTTCCAGTGATGGGCTATCCACAACTTCTTGGGGAAACCTGTTCCAGCAACTTACCACACTCATCATAAAAATATTCTTCCTTATGTCCAATTTAAACCTATCCTCTTTTAGTTTAAAAAACATTACCCCTTACCCTGTCAATGTAGGCCTTGGTAAAAAGTCTCTCTCCATCTTTCTTATAAGCCCTCTTTAAGTGTTGAAAGTATGCAGTAAAGTATTCCTGGAGTCTTGTCTTCTCCAGGCTGAGCAAGCCCAACCCTCACAGCCTGTCTTCCCAAGAGAAGTGCTCAACCCTCTGATCATCTTCATGGCCCTCCTGCTAGAGCAGGTCCATGTCTTTCTTGCATACATTCAGTTCTATTATTTTGACGTTACTCATACCAAATTCAACCACTCTTTTTTGGGTAAAGCTTAACTGAAAGCCATTTTTTATAGACTTCATAGTTCAATGTCAGATAATTCATTCAGTCCGTCTCTCAGTTCTCACAGAATAACACTGCAGATGCGAAATCTTCTAATGAATTCAAAGGTGGCCTTGGACAAGTACTTGGAGGACCGATCTAATTAATATAATTGGATATTTTTATTAATTATTTAATTACAACATTCTCATGTTTCCCAGAACACAAAGCACAAGTAGTAGTTTCTGAGGACACCTGTGAAGTCATGTCTTATGTTTTGATGCAGTGAGATCTTCAGTAAATCTTCAGGCAGTTTCTATTTTATATATAACAATGTGCTCATGGTATTTTAAGTTTTCTTTCTTAATACTACTGAATTGACTGAACTATTTTTAATGGTGAATATTCACCAGTAAAATGGAGTGAAGCCAAGTTCTGCAACTAATGATTTTACCAGCTGTTCAGCTATTCCAGTATTTAAGCAATGAATCGATATTTAAATTGTTTTTCCCCTCTTACATTGCAAGTTAATAGATTTTTTTTTTCCAGAGTGCATGACAAATTGCAGTCAAATTTTTACAAATGTTCTGAAACCTAAACTCACTACCAATGCTCATTAATGAGATTATAGAGGGTAATGAAAGTAATGGTTTTCAGTTTAAAAAAAAACATGCAACCCTGTGTGGCTTGTTTCCTTGTTTACTGTCATTTAATTTTCATATAATAGATGACGATGTTAAGTCAAAATTAGTGGTTAAAATCTGTCATTTGTGCTAAATGTATTCCAAGTCAAACACATTATAGTTCGATAAAAACATTGTTTCTGTGTCTGCACAAACCTGTGATAAATATAAGTACACAAGGTATTAGAGCTCTTCAGAACAAATCTCTGCTGTGACGTATTTATAACAACACTGGCATAAATCATAGCATTTTCTGCTGCGTATCGGCTTCTATCTCTTACTCAATTTTTGACGGATAGCTTGTAGAGCTAGCAGGTTTTTTATCATTTAGAGCATTTGGTATGTTGCTTTATAATAAACTGTTGTGATTTCCTAAAAGGAGAATTAATACTTTTTAAGATTGTCTAGTTATATCAAATTCTCACATTTCAGTAAATAGTTTCTTAATTCAGCTAAACAGTCTGTAAACTGCCAAATGTAATTACAGACACAAAAGAATTTCTCTCCCTTCACATTAAAAATAGTAACATATACTTGTGCTCATATTCTTCTGTACCACTCTCTAAAGCCAAAGCTCCAAGATATTATCCCTTTTTTTTAAGTAATGAAGTATAGTTTGAAAGAGAACTGCAACATAAAAAGCAATCAGACCTAGAGAATGCACTGTGAACAATAAATAGTATTGCAAATATCTTTAATTAGGTTTTCATACCAAAAGGCTACTAAATAACACAAAACATAGTATATATCTTAATCTCTTTAGGAGCACACTCCATGTTTTCTAGGGATGCTTACCTTAATGTCTGTCTCTTCATGCAGATAATATACATACAGCATATTGAAATAAAACAGTATGTAAAAAACCCTTGATATCCAAAGTTCCGTAAGAGAGAAAGCCAAAAGAAACCAAGTTCACTTCAAGGTCAAGATTTATTAATGCAACTCTTATGAACAAGTATTTATTCTATGCTTAGAAATTGAAACACTGACCAAATAGCTACTGTAACTGTAATAGAGGCTGTACATACTGTGGTTAGAAACAAAAAAATGCTGGTAGGTCCTCCTTCAGTACTAAACAAACTGTAAACTTTTAACATTTGGCATAACTTTAGTAACACACAAGAACAGTTATTTTATTAGGGCTGATTTTCTTGCTTTTTTTCCTTTGTCTCATGTTTGGTTTTTTATTCTCTGTGTCCTCCCCATCTTTATACCTTTTTACAAGTATAAAGCCACAGCAGTTGACAAAGGAAATTACCTTGGGCCATAATTCTTTTCTAGTAAGGCACTCTTCAGAGATTGGTAACACAGTAGAACTGAGCATGGACAAGATCTTAATCCTACTCGGTTTCCTGCCGCTGCTACCAGTATGGATAAAATATCACTTTGCAAGAATGTAATCTTTCTCAATTAGGCATGAGATGAACAATGAAATTAAGGCATATCCCAGGTGCCCAATGACCCAGTTATTTTTATTCTTGAAAATAATTCTTGTGAATGCTCCATCCCTGGTGGTGTTCAAGGCCAGGTTGGACAGAGCCTTGGGTGTCATGGTTTAGTGTGAGGTGTCCCTGCCCATGGCAAGGGGTTGGAACTAGATGATCTTAAGGTCCTTTCCAACCCTAACTATTCTATGATTCTATGATTCTAAAATAAGGACCTACAAGTCCCTAGTATAAAAAACTTCCTTAAAAGCTAAACAGAACAATAATATAGTCAGTCAAAGTATCATAAAAACAAAAAAATAAACAAGCAAAAAACCACCAGTGCTGGAAAAGTACAGCTACAGCTTTTTGAAGATGCAGTGGAAAAGACAACAAAGGGATTTGCTAAAACTAATATTTGAAAAGTGACTTCTGACATCCTTTTCTTTAATAAAAATTGTTTCTTTATTTACTCCACCATTTACAGCCGGTCTGAGATGTAACTGTCTAATCATTATAAAACACTGACAGTCGCTTTCAGTTTTTTTCCAGGCATCCTACTGAAGGCCAAACTTCTTTTGCTATTATGTGATAAAATCTGTATGATTCATGTCAACGGTTAGTGTAGAGAATACCTGCATTTGGTGATGTGCACTGGCAGATGAAATGCTGTTGCATTGTGTGGTGCAAAAACTTTCACAAGTTCATGAAGTGTAAATGTCCTTTTTGCATGAACAGAATAG